TTTTGAAAGACGGTTTAGTATATAATGTGTTTCGATATTTTTTTTTTGATGGATGAAAATGGTATGGTAACTCCGCCTGCGCTAACGAGATACGCTGGCGGAGCACCAGTGAAGGGTGATCGATGAGAATGAAAACAGGACAGTTAGCCCATCATGATGAATTCATCAGGAATTAACCATGATAGTTTCCAGGGGAACCGCGAGGAGGTCGACCTGGTTGGGTATATTGCTTAGCAATGGGATTCTCAGTCTCCATTACTAACAATCCCTTTCCCCCCGGAGCAGACGATTAGAATACTTGTAAGGTGATTATTATTTTTAAATCAGTACAGTTCGTTTAAATTGGAGGGAAAGGGATTGTTAATAATGAAGTCTAACTGACCAATTGCCAGCAATACAACCTATCAGGCCGACCTCCACGTAGTTCCCCCTGGAAACAATCGTGGTTAATTCTAGTGAAATTCGTCACGATGGGCTAACTGACCTGCTTTCATCGTCACTTATCATCCCTCACTGGTGCCCCGCCAGATAGCGCAGGCGGGAATACCATTCCATTATCACCCATTAAAAAAAATGCACGTGTGCATGTGTGTGTTTTTTTATACAACTTAGAATGGCAAACAAGCTGACGGCTCACCTGATGGAAAGTGGTAACCGTCGACTATAGACATGAGCAGTACCATGGACATAACATAACCATGGACATACTTGCATATATCTAATGGTAAGGCATTAATAACTATATTATCTATTACTTCCTACCAGCTGACATGAGATAACATATCTTCGAATGCATAGAGGCTTTTCAGTTGAAAGTGTTTAATTAATAGATTATGATAAAACATTATTATATAAAGGTATCATGAAAAAAATTATGTAACAGTGCGTCACCACTTTTCATTCCCCTGATGTCGTAAGAGGTGATTAAGGGGGAAAAATCGTGATAGCTTTTTTTTCAATCAGCTTTAAAAAGATGGAGGTTCTCAATTCGATTTTTTTTTATACGAGTATTTTTATAAAAAAAATGTGATAACACCAGTTATTTCCATATAAAAATTAAACTACATACATACATACATACATATCTGTCACGCCTGTCTCCCATTAGGGTAGGCAGAAACAATGGAACGCCAAATGCTTCGATTCAAACAAACCTCTTTCGCTTCTTCCACATTCATCAATCTTTTCATACACGCTCGCCGGTTACGGGTACTTTTAATTTGGCCCTTCTTCAGCACGTCGCCTATTTGGTCAACATACGTCCGTCTAGGGCGGCCCCTACCGACATCTCCATTTATTCTTGCTCGATAAATCTCTTTCGTAATTCTTCTTTCATCCATCCTCTCCAAACTACTAAAAACATATTGAGAAAATTTCTATGAGATGAAATTAAAAATATATCCTTTCAGATAAAAATGAATTTTCAAATTCTGGTTTATAAATGACGGAGTTATGAGGTAACAAACATTAAAAAGTACGGCTAAATAGAGAACCTGCTCTTTTTTTAAGTCGCTAGAGAATCCAGTAGAAATTGGCCGAAACCAAAAGTTCAGTCCAGATACCTTCGTACGAGTACGTGAACCATAGCCTAAAAAAATCACTTTTTTTCACACTTCACATAAACTATGAAAGTACTACATACATTTTCAAATGTAAAAAACGTAACTATAGGGAAAATTCTTACTAATATTATAAATGTGAATGTGAGTTTGTTTATTATCTTATAGCGCCTTAATGGTTTAAGCAATCACTATGAAATCATTATGATATCAGTATACATGCATTATATGCGATGGAGAAGGTTATAGACTACTTTTATCCTGGTCAGAAAACATATCCCAGTTACTTTTTTTTTATACAACTTAGAATGGCAAACAAGCTGACGGCCCACCTGATGGAAAGTGGTAACCGTCGCCTATAGACATGAGCAGTACCATGGACATAACAGAGTATACTGTTTCGCCCATGATACCCCCCATGCGTTGCCATTCCTGAGGACTCAGGTGTTATTCCTCCGTATCCAGTAAATTCACGCCATATCCCACCATTCAAACCAAAACACAGCTATGCAAACATAACTGCTTTACGATTGAAACACGAATGGGACAGAGGTATTCAAGCAATCGACTTTTGTACAAAGTCTCCCTCTGGTGAATGCATTATATGCGATGGAGAAGGTTATAGACTACTTTTATCCTGGTCAGAAAACATATCCCAGTTACGTGAACGAAGTTGCGGGTAAACGCTAGTAGCTTATAAACAGCACTGGCTAATTGAAGATAAAAAGCTATTATGTACAATATAATAAACAGTTTCTAAGAATTATAATTATTAAGTAATTTTACGACCATAATTCAGATAGCGGAATCAATAGATCAGTGTAGTCGTATTTCAATGCTGTATTTAATAATTAGGTACATTAATTACTGTGTCTGATTAATGTTTGGCTTCAAGTATAACAAATTGTTGTAATGCTAATTAAATTAAATAGTGGAGTCGATTCTGAGACATATAGTATCTATGCCCACACGCAACTATAAACAGAGTAAGACATACGAAGCTTATGCGAGTTTTAAATTTAAATTATATTTTATTGCTATAAATTACTCTTTAATTCATTTTACAAAGTACTGTCTATCTGTCTGTAATTATTCATTTTCCATCAAGTGGACCATCAGCTTGGTTTTTGTTTGCACAAAAATGATTAGTTTTTTTTTACTTTAATTTTTTTAATAACATGTACGTAGTGGTATATGATTCGGCCAGCATTTTTTGCTATTCTTAGATGCAGAAAATACATTGTCAGTTTTTTTTTTATACGATGAAGGCGGCAAACAAATTTACAACTCGTCTAATGGTAAACAGTTACTGTAACCTATGGACGCCTGCAACATTAGGGGTACCACGTGCGCGTTGTTGATCTTGAAGGACCCTAATTTTTATTTTAATTTTGTAATGAGAATATTTATTGATATGCGATTCCCAAATGTTTCATTTAGATCCAGTACCTATAGATTGGCAGTGTGATGAAAGGCAAATAACCAAGTAAGTAGTAAATTAGTTATTATTTAATAAAGTGGCATTTTTAACGATATAGATGATGCGTCATTCTGGTAACAGTACATAGTAGGCATAGATGAAGATCATACATATATTACACTAGGTAATAAATATGGTAAAACTACAATAGCGTATATAGGTTAGAGTTTTGTTAAATGAGTAATAAATCCAGGTTTTTACGAGGATAACGAAATTGTTACTAATGAAGTATCATAAAATTTATAATAACTATCGTGCTATCATATTTTCCTTGTCCTGTTCATAGACAGATATCAGACATACTACGCCTACCATGCGAAATGAAACCTAAAATTTGATGTTTTCCCGTTTAAAGTTGTTAAAAATGTTAAAAATCAACAAAGGTTTTATTTTCTCCATTTTCGATTTTTTACGGAATTTCATTTTATTAAAACAAAAAATCACAGTTATTTTCTCTTTTCTTTTTACTTAATACAAAAACCACAGCTCTCTTACAAAATAAGAGAGCTGAGTGTATTATAAATACAGTCAAAAAAGTATTTTAATTTTATAAACAAAAATAAGAAATACTGAAAAAATGTACATAAAGTAGAATATAAGATAAGCAATTGCAGTAAGCAGTCGTTTATTCTCATTTTTGAAGCAATTTTCAAAATGGGAGGAATTTTAGTTACAGAATTGCGTTGCTGTTTCTGTATCGATTTTGTTATACATGTCTTTTTAAAAATGTTTTTTTTTAATGGATGATAATGGAATGATAACCTCGCCTGCGCTAACGGTATACGCTGGCGGAGCATCAGTGATGGATGATAGGTGAGAATGAAAATGCAGGTCAGTTAGCCCATCGTAATGAATATACTTGGTATTCGGCACGATGGTTTCCAGGGGGGACCACGGGGACGTCGACCTGGCAGGGTATATTGCTAGCAATGGAACTAGTAGTCCCCATTACTAACAATCCCTCCCCCCTTTTAAAAATGATTGGGTACTTCCTATTTAGTTTTATATTAACTTTGTAATTAATTACATTTTCCATTTTTCTTTACATAGCAAAAAAAAATGTTGCGAGGCCAAATCTACTTGTAGGTAAACACAGGTTTTTATGTTTAAAAAGAAATTAGTTTTGGTCTAAACACAAAATATGTAAATAAATGTAATATGTATCAGGTATCTATAAACATCTCGACATTCATAAGTGTAGATTATTGGTTTTTAAAATTAAATTTTGTTTTAGTTATTTTTTTTTCAGTTTAAAATGACTTACTATGAGTTGTGATAATATTTATTGTAATCTACAAACGAAAAAACAATAAAAAATAAATCAATTGATTTTTTGTTATTCCAAAAGGTACTCATTTTATTATGGTTAAGAGGCTGTTTTTTTTTAATGGAACATAATCTTGAAAAAATATAACTTTGTTTGAAATAAATAAAATTGTGTATTGAAAATATTTCAAGTTATAATACATGAGTTAATTTGTTACTCCGTGTCGACTTGACGACTGAATTAATCAGCTTTTTACGCGTATCTTAACTTTATATAGTGATTAAAAAAAAATACCTGTCATGCGAAAAAAGGGGGCCGCAATTAATATTAAAAAAAATGTTGCATTGGAATATTGATAATTTTTTTTTATTGGCACAGAAATGTGAGAACGGTTAAAGAAAAGCGGTCACAATTTTTCATGCCAGTGTTTTCTTTTAATTTAATACTTTAGCAAAAGTACATAGAAATAACAAACGATAACAATACAAAACATAACTGAACTATCAATTATAAAATGTTTATTACAAAAGTAAATTGAATATTTATTTTTAAATTAGTTAAATATAAAATTAACTCAAATTGAATGTTAATAAAACAATAAAAAAAAGATTTGTCTAAAGACAATTTTTTCTTAAATTGATTCGAAATTTGATTTTTTTTTTAAAGTCACAAAACATTGAAAGAAAATACAAACCTGCTATCCGAAAAAAAAATATTCAGCGCTGTCTCACAGTAAGCACAAATATTCCACAGACAAACTTTTATTTAAAAAGCTAGTCACCGCGGACTATTTGCTAGGCTACGCAGACGCGCGAGGCGAGCGAACCGCCAGCGAATTCCGAAAGAACTACCGGCGATTGTGGCCGGTTTGCCGGCTATGTTACATATTTACAAGTTTGATAAACAGATACCGATAGTAATAGTGCCTGCTTCTATTATCATTTGTTTATTTATGTGCCGCTCATAGAAATTGTTTGTTAATTAAATAATAGCTACCTACATACTATATGCCGGTGACAGAGCGGAGTTTCAAATTGTTGTTTTATTGTTTATAAGTTTGTGTCGCCACCACGTTGTATTTCAATAAAATTTACCAGAGGGAGACTTTGTACAAAAGTTGATTGCTTAGGTACCTCTGTCCCATTCGTGTTTCTACCGTGAAGCACTTGTGTTTGCATGGCTGTGTTTCGGTTTGAACGGTGGTATATGGCGTGAATTTACAGGGTACAGAGGAATAACACCCGAGTCCTCAGGAATGGCAACGCATGGGGGGTATCATGGGCGAAACAGTATACTCTGTTATGTCCATGGTACTGCTCATGTCTATGGGCGACGGTTACCACTTACCATCAGGTGGGCCGTCAGCTTGTTTGCCATTCTAAGTTGTATAAAAAAGAGTTAATTATTGATCTATTTTTATTAAGCATGGGTAATATGGATACGGGGGGGGGGGGGGAGAAGAAATTGTTAATAATAAGGATAAACATTCCCATTGCCAGCAATAAATCCTATCAGTCCTCGCGGTTAGCCTGTGGAAACCCTGAGTGATTGAGTTATTGTTGAATTCGACACGATGGGCTAACTGACCTGGTTCATTTTTGCCCACCTGATATATATATATATATATATATATATATATATATATATATATATATATATATATACCGTAGGTGGCGGAAACCACCAACAAATGCATTCCCAAAGAGGGTTGACGTCAGGCAGGTGGCCGGTCGTAAAACTAAAAACCAAATCTTTTCGTAATATGGATAAAATAATATTACGCCGACCCCATATATACATATATATATCTACTGTCTAGTACTTATCAGAGAAGACACTCCACAGTACAGGTAATTCTAGTGTGGAGTTTAAGATGACTCCTAACCTCCTGTTGGGGGAGGAGAAGGGATTGTTAGTAATGCGGACTACCGGTCCCATTGCTAGCAATATATCTTATCAGGTCGACCTCCACGTGGTCCCCATGGAAACAATCGTGCTGAATTTCACGTGCATTCATCACGATGGGCTAACTGACCTGCCTTTTCATCTCTTATTGGTGCTCCGCCAGCGTTACCATTAATGCAGGTAGGGATAACAAAGGGCTAAAAAAAACTTGAACTGTTATTTTTTTTGTTAAGATGTTATTACTTAGCTTCTTACTATTGTTTATTTTTGTTTACTTTTGCCACAGATGATATTATAGTCTCTTTTGTGCAACGTAAATAAGTAATATTGTGGCAAATAAAATTTATCATTTATTTATTTATATTAAATTTTATAAAAGTTGCTTAAGCCGTTAACGCATTGAGGTAATTAATAAACAAATTCACTTCCACGTTTACAATATTAGTAAGAATTATACGTACACACAAACAGTTTTAATACTACCTTAATAAGCTATTCATGTTAACCATATTTTTTAATCTATCTCCTATATTTCGAACTGACCCGTCGCGTCGTCCGTATTCAATATCGAGGACGAATCGCTCTGTCTTTTATACGACTTAGAACTACAAAAAAAACTACTTTTAGTACGTCATTTTAAGTCGTATTTGGTATAATAACTAGTGAAATTGTATGCGTGATAGTAAAACTGTACTACTGATAATCACAAAGTATAGAATACACGAAAAAAAAAGTGTATCTATAAATATGTACCAATTAGGTATCAGTTCGTAGCGGAGTTCAAGAAACCATTAAAAAAAATTATCTTGCAAACTGTTTATACATACGACACGCATTGATTTATCAGAACAGTAATCAATAAAATTAGGTAAAAATTAAGGTAAATGAGCAGAGAATTTGTACATAAGTCTTCTGTTTGGGTACCACTGTCCCACTCGTCTAGGGGCCTGGTTGGGGTTTAGTTTAAAAGGTAGGATATATGTAGGGCACAAAAGATACCATTGACCTCAGTGATGACCTCAGCATTGCGTGAAAGCGTTATAGGCGTTACAGTGTATCATGCCAACAGCTTGTTTGCTTTTGCAAATTTTAATCACATAAAAAAATTTTTAGAAAATGCAAATTTTAAGAAAATGAGTCAATGCATAATTTATAATATTAATAAGTTATAATAATTTACTTATGTAAATACAGAAAGATAATATTTCTCATTTTTTTTTTAGTTTTTCTTTCTCTTTTTATTTTATTTTTTTAGTATTGGTTAAAAAAATAGTAGAAAAAGAATAAATCGCCATTCTGATTAAAAAATCTAGACTTTTTTTTAATAAATAAATTTTCAAAAAATCACTCTTTTTACATTATTTTGTCTTATTTTATATTATTCATATTGTTATTTTTATTATATTGGATGTTTTTGTTTTTGTGTACAACGCCATCTAGCGGCATAAATGTCGTAAGTAATTCTAATAAGTTGCCGCAGATGAAGTCACAGATTACAGGTAGTCATTACACAGTAGACATCTGTTACAAACAAAATTTAATATATTCACAATCATGAACAAAGTTATTCTTGGAGCAAGTCCCACATTGACTGTACACTGTATTTTAGACCAACTTAACATAAAAACAATGGGTGTACCATTTCGGGAGCGTACATTGCTCGCTTCCTTTATGTTTATGGATATGGTACCTGTATATGGTCAGCCATGGTGTTACAAAACGCTATCCTCCTATATTGTTGTTAGTCACTTGACTATTATCGTTTGTGGAGCTCAACATTGATGTTTTAATTTGATTCACACTTCAATTCCTTCCATCTTCGAACGGTAGATATTTTAATAGGTTACAATAATAATTCTAATGGCATATAATAATATAATAATAAAACTATTTTTTTTACAATAATGGTATAGTGATATTTCCGTATGGCCTCGACATAGAATGGACCACACCTTTCTTTCCCGTGGGTGTCGTAAGTGGCGACTAAGGGAATTTAATAGTCGGAGGTTGGGCAGCAGTCCCTCTTAAGTCATCACCAAAAATCTGATTGCGGTTACAAACCCCCTTATCAAGTATGGTGCAAACTAGTGAAAAAATCTTGTTTTGAGAGAGGTATGTTGGCCTATGTTTAGCAATGGATAGTCGACAGCTGATATGATATGATGATGAATGGTATAATATCACAATTTTTTTTTAAATATCTCCCATGTAGAGATATCGTTAAGTTACAATTTTATTTTATTATTTATTTTATTTATTTAACACTTTATTGCACCAATATAACAGGATTTGTTGAACAATTTTCAATACGTATAGTGTAGTATAAAAGACGGTCTTATTGCTAAGCAATCTCTTCCAGACAATCTTTGGGTAGAAGGAAATAAAGCATAAGTAGGTAGGTGGCGCGTTAAAAGAAATAGATCTGTAAAAAATAATATCTGTGACAGCATAGTCATATACACATACATAAATAAACACATACTTCCAAATATATATATATAACACACATAAAACTGGAAATACGTAGGACTAAGTGATTAGTAAGATACCTTCTTATCAATATTCAAGATTCTCTGTTTTTTCCATTCATTTTCTTCCCGTTGTCTTGCGAAGATCGTCGACCCATCTGGAGGTCGTACTACGGAGCGTTTTCCTATAAGTGACCGGACGAAATCTAAGTTGGAATTAACTTTATCGACGTGTGTCCGGAACAAACATCATATATATTGCAACTTGCAACGGACTGTAATGAAACGCGATGGGTCATGGTCGCCCCTCTAATACTGATCCAGAAGTAATAGAACAACCATCAGTATCGCTTGTCAATACATATTGGTTCCATTCGGAAGGTTTCTCGTACTTTGAAATTGATAGTTGCGTGGATACTGAATATTTGTAAGCACCTATATTAAATACGAATGTTTGTTGACTGTATACTTAGGTACAAGATTTTTGTCCGCTACTTCGTTCATATTTTGTTAAACAAAAAAAAAACAATTTATTTATTTACTCTTTATTCTTCTTCTTCTTCCTACCCTTATCCCAATTATTATATGGGATCGGTGTAATATGTTTTTTATCCATATTACAAAAAGATTTGGCTTAGTATTACGACCGGCCGCCTGCCTGACATCAACCCTCTTTGGGAATGCATTTGTTGGTGGTTTCCGCCATCTATGGCATGGAGGAAAGGATTGAGGGAAAAAGGAAGGGACCGTTGAAAATGCGTATATGAAATTAGTAAATAAGAGGAATAAGGGACTTATGTGGGAAAAGAAAGGGGGGTCACTGCAGTTGTGAAAAGGACTGGGACATTGCAACGGCTCGGAGGCCGGGGTCGATTATCCGTATGCCCTTATTCTAGAATCGGACAGATTTCTAGAAAAGAACACCACTGACGCCTTTAGTTACTATTTATTGTATTATTTAAATGACATATCCAAATAAAACATATATCAAATATTGAGTTAGACCTATAGAAACATTATTGTAACAGAAAACTGCTTCCATGATACCCCCCATGCGTTGCCATTCAGATGTTATTCCTGATGCAGTAAATTCACGCCATATCCCACCCTTCAAACTGAAACACAGCCACGCAAACACAATTTTTGCGCGATACCCAACTGTACATAGACAGACGGCAAAATTACTAAAAAACCATTTTTTCGGCTTTTATTGAACTTATTAAGACCCCCCACATATAATTTTTACTTAAATATCTCCCATTTACAAACATTGGTTAGTCATAAATTTGGTACAGAGATACACTGTATCTGTTTTCTATATTGATTCACACAGGCAAAGCTGCGAGTATTAAATTACTTACCAGTATTAAATTAATAAACAATAGTTACTTAACATACTAAACTAAAGAAAAAAAAAACAAACTTGAATTCAAGAAGAATGAACTCTTTTTTTTTTCAATCAATTCATTTGTACATTTTTATATAATGGGCCATATTTGAAAAACAAATAAGACTAATTTTTAGGTCGTTGAAATATTGGAGTCGATTCTGAGGCGTCGTTTCTCTAAACTTTACCTTAAAGCTAAAATTTCAATTTGATATCACAACGAAATAATTATTCCAAAAACTAATATAAACTAAATTTCTAATAGATTTCTATTTAAAAAATTATTATAAATTTAATTTACGATGGTCAAACAGTAATTTAGCAAAATTATCCAATTGAAATAACAGATTAAGAGATAAGTTTATAATAATAGCGCTAGAGTCGTTTCTATTGTTAAAAAATCTAATTCATACGAAAGATGGTCCACATGGATTCAAACATGTTCGGCGAAATAACAATTTTTACATCTCTAATATACCTGTTATCTATTTAAAAATACAATTTTGAGCATTATTTGATACTAGGTAGTTTTTACCTGCGACTTCGTTCGTGTAATTGAGATGTATTGATTGACCAAGATATATAATAACCTA